GGGCGCAGTCTTGAATGGCTGTCCAGCTCACGGTCTTTGAGCGACCCTCATCTGAAGTGGCAAATATAAATCGCCTAGAGATGCGGGCGTACTCCTAGCACTGAAGTTCTTTCTCCCTCAGTTGAGAGGTCACAGTGTGCTAGTTGTTGTCAGACAACACAGCTGTGGTCTCGTATATCAACCACCAGGGAGGGTGCACGCCCACCCCCCCTTCGCAGGCAGGCGGCAACTAATCCTCCTCTGGGGGGAGGGGAAGTTCTTGTCAGTGAGTGCAATGTACATTCCGGGCAGTCGGAATGTGGGGGCAGACATCCTGTCGAGGCAGGGGCTGAGGCCCAGGGGGTGGAGGCTCCATCCACAAGTGGTGGAGTCCATATGGCGGAGATTCGGACGAGCGGAAGTGGATGTGTTTGCTACGAGGAGACAACACACTGCCCGCTGTGGTTCGCCCTCACTCCTCCTGCCCCATTGGGACTGGACGCCATGGTGCACATGTGGCCGAGGTCACGTCTATACGCTTTCCCCCTGATTGCTCTGCTCCCACAAGTTCTAGCGAGAGTTCGCCAAGACCGTCTACGTCTGCTGCTAGTAGCACCTTTTTGGCCAGCTCGAATTTGGTTCTCGGAGATAATGTCCCTGCTCGACGGCACTCCTTGGGAGATTCCCATCCGCAGGGACCTACTGTCTCAAGCCGGAGGGCTGATCTATCACCCTCGGCCAGAACTATGGAAACTGTGGGTCTGGCCCCTGAGGGGCACCAGCTCATAGATTCTGGTCTCACAACTGAGGTTGTAGAGACCATTTTAAACGCTAGAGCACCATCCACAAGGAAATTGTATGCGCTCAAGTGGCGGCTTTTTGTCTTGTGGTGTGAAGAGCGTCAGTTAGACCCAGTGAACTGCGCAGTGGCTACAGTCCTGGAGTTTCTGCAAGAACGTTTTTCAGCAGGGTTGGCTCCTTCTACAATCGGGGTTTATGTGGCCGCCATTTCGGCCAGCCATGCCCCTGTTAATGGAGCCTCTGTGGGGCAGCATCCTCTAACTTTCTGTGATCTTGGAAGGTCTGTCGGGAGCCCCATTTGAGCCCTTAGAGTCAGCCTCGGAGAAGCTTCTGACTCTAAAGGTAGCTCTTCTACTGGCCCTGACATCTCTCAAGCGAGTGGGGGATCTACAAGCTCTCTCGGTTGCCCCCCCCTGCCTTGACTTCGCCCCCGGACTGGCCAAGGCCTTCCTGTACCCTAAGCCGGATTATATTCCTAAAGTGCCTACATCGGCTGCCCACCCAGTGGTGTTGCAGGCCTTCTGCCCTCCTCTGTTCCTCACACCGGAACAGGAGAGGTTGCACCTGCTGTGTCCGGTAAGGGCCCTCTGCACTTACGTCCACCGCTCCAGCCAGTGGCGTAAGTCAGAGCAGCTGCTGGTCTGCTTTGGTGGCGACAGTAGAGGTGACGCTGTGTCAAAACAGCGCATCTCTACTTGGATAGTGGAAGCAATCTCTATCGCTTACGAGGCGCGCGGTCTCGCCACGCCTCTAGGCATAAGAGCTCATTCCACTAGGGCGGTCGCCTCCTCGAAGGCTCTGTCAAAAGGGGTGTCCTTGCACGATGTGTGTGCGGCCGCAGGGTGGTCTACGCCACACACGTTCATTCGTTATTACAGCCTGGATGTTCATTCCACCCCGGGCTCGAGTGTCTTGCAGTGACCCTCGGGCTTCGGTATTTTTGGACAGGCCGTACCCTTGGTATGACGGAGTGGGTATTCCCGTTCCCATACTGTTATGCTAAATGCAACGTCGAAGTTTCCTTTGAAAGGGAACGCTCGGGTTACGTGATTAACCCTGTTCCCTCGAGAAGGGAACGAGACGTTGCATAGCATTGTCATACCAGGGCAGGCCTGTGAATTGGCGTCTTCACTTCAGATAATAGAGGCTGGCGGCGGGGGTTCACAGGTGCCATATATATATGCGACGCTTACGATTGCCACGTCACCTGATCATGGCAGGCCTATAAGTAGAGGCATGATTTTACACAAGCTTCAGATACCGGTCACGCGCGCAAGGCGCTCCCATACTGTTATGCTAAATGCAACGTCTCGTTCCCTTCTCAGGGAACAGGGTTACATACGTAACCCCGACGTTTTCTTGGCACACTTTGGGCCTGTTAATACCAATCAATCATCGCTTGATTGTCACAGCCTATTTGGGTGTTCTTGCTGACCATGCGCATTCCATCATGAACACAATTTACTCATCTTCTAATGGCTATTTCCAGCAGTATAACGCACTATATCACAAAATAAAAGTCGTCTCAAACCGGTTCCATGAACATGACAATGAGATCAGTGTTCTTCAGTGGCCTTCTCAGTCACTGGGTCTGAATCCAACAGAACACCTTTGGGATGTGGTAGAAAGGGAGATTCACAGCATGAAAGTGCATGTGAAAAATCTGCAGGAATTGCATGATGCAATCATATCTACATGGACCGGTATCGCAAAGGAGAATGTTTCCACCATCTTGTGGAATCCATGCCACAAAGAACTGAGTCTGTTTCGAGAGCAAAAACAGGCCCTGCCCAGTATTACTACAGTGTTCCTTATATAGTGTTTGGTGAGGGTATATGTGTATGTACTGTATATATTTCCATATTCATCTGGTTTAATGGTTTTCCTGTTATTATTTATTTATGCTACACTATGCTGTTATTGTGGATTCTGATTGATCAGAAGGTGTTGATCTTTTTTTTTTTTTAATTACAGCAGCTTTGACATTAGTGCAGTTGCAAATCACAGGCTTACAGTATATTAACAGACTTATTGTAGTATGTTATGGTTTCTCTAATATGGATGACATTCCATGTAAACAGATTAAGAAAACTGTATATAATGGTTTATACGGAAAATTTATGGAAGGAGTCTCCAGTGTCAGTGTTTTGCAACAGTCAGTAAAGCTGTAACTTTTAATTTTATGACAGCTTTTGCTTTGTGGTTTATTGGTAACATGAATGACAGACTGTGTGCTTTTTTGTCTTAACCTCAAGAGAGAGAAAAAGGAGACTGTTGATGAAACAACTGTTTATACAGTGAGGGGAATTTTTTTTTTTATCCCCTGCTAATTTTGTACGTTTGCCCACTAACAAAGAAATGATCAGTCTATAATTTTAATGGTAGATTTATTTTAACAGTGAGAGACAGAATAACAACAAGAAAATCCAGAAAAACGCATGTCAAAAATTTTATTACTTACTTAGTAATTACTTTTAATTTTCAATGCCCTGGCTGAGGGAAGGAGGTTCTCACCCAAGATTTGACGGTACATGGCCCTGTCCATCGTCCCTTTGATGCTGAAGTTGTCCTGTCCCCTTAGCAGAACAACACCCCCAAAGCACGAGTTGAGTTGATGCAAAAGAGCTCCATTTTGGTCTCATCTGACCACAACACTTTCACCCAGTTGTCCTCTGGTGGTCAACTGAGACCAAAATGGAGCTCTTTGGCATCAACTCTACTCGTGCTTTGGGGGACGATGGACGGTGGACGGGGCCATGTACCGTTTATGTACAATTTATAACATTTTTGACATGCGTTTTTCTGGATTTTTTTGTTGTTATTCTGTCTCTCACTGTTCAAATAAACCTACCATTAAAATTATAGACTGATCATTTCTTTGTCAGTGGGCAAACGTACAAAATCAGCAGGGGATCAAATACTTTTTTCCCTCTCTGTAGCTGCTATGACATAGCTACAATTTGTTTTACGGACATTCAGGACATTAAATATAACCATAAACAAATAAAAAACTTCAATTTGTTGTTCATTATAAATATGAAAGTTGTGGTATAAGATGAAAAAAAGAAGTCATAGGTGGAGAGTAAAGTTCATATCAGACCCTGTTACTCTTCATACATGCCTGTTATATTTTGAGAAAGCACCACTTCATTGTGAGGCTTTGGCAAAATATTGCAACTGTGATGCAACATGTGTGTTTGTCTCAGTCTGTTGTCTTCTGCACTCGTCCGTGTGATAATCCTGTGGCTCAGTCCCACAGCGGAAAAAAAACAGTCCCCACACAATGCTGCACTGAAACACACACTTCCAACCAGGGACATCTAGAGCTCTGCTTTAACACACACGCATGCACACACGCAAGCACACACACATGCACACACACTCACACACACACAGCGTGCAGGTGCACTTCATTACTTTGTCCTCATTCTTTCTCTTTTTTCTTTCTGTTTCCCTATTTTTTGTTTATTAAGTCTGCTTATATCACAGAAAAAGTGAAAGGAAAATAATAAAAAGAATTAAAGACATAGAAATAAAGAGAGTAGTAAAGATGGGGGACAATTTGAGAAAAATAGAAGGAGGAAACGAGAGAGAAAACACAAATATAACGCACTGTAGCCTGGAATGGAGTCTCTAGTTATGTTTGTTACTACTACTAATAATAATAATCATAAGTGGTCAATTTAATAGAAAAAGGTCATCGGTAAGTTTTAGTAAGTCACAAACATATAGAAAAGTGTATAATGGACACTCAATTTCTAGGACTGTAATAGTACAAGTTGTGGTACAGAGAGCTGTGTGACTTTCACAGCAGGGAGTGCCCGGTGCGTCAGACATGCCCCCCTATGAGTCACACTAGCAAGCATGCCAGGGTTGCATTTTGTCCCCTCCAAATTGGGTTAGTTTTGAAACAATAAATCAGAAATGAGTGTGCACCACAGTGAAGAGGTTTCCAACTCCATTTCCAAGTCCTGATTTATTGTGCTGATCTCAGGTCTTTTTGCACAGTTTCTGAGATGTAGTCGGAGTGGTAATTTTGCTCTGACCTGGCAACTCTGCACACCAGCACACACACACACTTTGTTGGTACAGCGCTGTTAAATTCTCGAATGTTGTTAGTCAGATAGCGTGCATTATGTTCAGGATCTAAGATGAAACATTTATAGTATCAATCCTCTCATTTGAACATGTAATTGTTACTATAGTAACAGCTCATACATGTGCCGGGCTCAGTCGGTAGAGCATGAGTCTCTTAATCTAAAGCTCGTCGGATTGAGCCCCATGCTGGGCACCAAAACCCAGCCATTGGGGACGCACAAGCTAGTGCACTCTGACTGCCGGTCTCAAACCTGGATTAAACAGGAGGATTACATCGGCAAGGGCATCCAGCCTAAAACCTGTGCCAACTCGAATATGCGGATCATAAAACCGGATTCCCATAATGAGGACGGATGATTCGCTGTGGCTGTAATGGGAGCAGCTGAAGGAAGAAGTAACAGCTCATACACAGGGACTTCCAGGGCAGACACGCCACAAAATCTAAGACTAATAATAAACAGATTTTGAAATACATGTTGTCGTTTAACAGAGAAAAACATATAATAGTTGATGTGGTCACACTTTCTTAGGGGTCATTTATTTAAGATGTATGGAAGGAATTGTGTGTGTCAATGCTTTGTAGCAGTCATAGTGATTTGCGAAGTTTGGGAAAGGTAAAAGGTCAAAAAAGTAAAATGATGAGCTGTGTTTTTGAGAGAGAGAGAGATAGAGAGAGAGAAAGTGTGTGTGTGTGTGTGTGGGGGGGATTCTGGGAAGGGAATGACTGTTTATTACACATATAATGTAGGTAAGAACAGGGACTATATTGGCTATCAGACTTCCATAACATTATATCTATCTATAAAACTTGAATAAATTAAACATATGTAATCATTGGCAAATTGCTGTAGTATAAGCAGAATAACACACTCCAAACCTCTACTTCGCGTCATTTTTTTCTCATATAACTGCATGATCTGTGTGATATTCAGTGTTATACATTTGTAATTTTGTTAATATTACTTTGATCATGTTGAATGTTTTAATCAACTCAAAATGGAGCTCTAAGATACATTTTCAGGCAATGCTTATTTTTGCTGAATCAAAAAAAACATTTTTAAATCATATCCAGACCATACCATATCGAAATCATATCGAATTTCATATCAACATTTGTGTATCATTACACCAGGATTCCAGCCCAAGCACTGCCAAGCTGCCACTGTTGAGCCTTTGAGCAAGGCAATTAACCCTCTCTGCTCCAGAAAGCCTCCATATATTGGGGAAAATTTTCATTCTTAGTTCATATTACATATTTCAAATAGCCAGTAAGAATGCCTTTGACATAAGAAGAACGTACTGAAATCAGTCTCATGGCTGGATCGGGAAGCTATCACAAGGTTGTGATGGACTTTAACATGAAACATGGTGACCATGTACTGGCACCCTGTCCAGGGTGTACGCCTTGTGCCCAATGCTTCCTGGGATAGGCTCCAGGTTCCCCCGCGACCCTGAAAAGGAGTAAGCGGTTGAACATGGATGGATGGATGGATGGTGACCATGTCAAACACGACACTGTCGCCAAACTTATTAATAAATGAAAAAAGATGAAGTGGACGTCCACGAACATCTACTGATGAAGGCACAAGCGACGTGCTGCTGGGAAACACACTCCCCGATGTATGGAGATTTTGTGACAATAATATATTTTTCACTTGATGTATGTAAATCGCTGTCTTTTCAACAGCAGAGGTGATGATTTTCTCATGTCTGAAATTTTTTGATGTCAATCTTTTAAAAAAACTTCATTAAAAAGATGAAAAAGTTCCAGGCCAGGAAACAAACTGTGGAAGTGGAAAAACGTTAAAAAAACAAACAATCCTAAAATCTAATTTTCTGATAACAAAAAGGTCTGCAAGTAAATAATAAAAAAATATATCTCTAGATACTTTTTCAAAATCTTGGAAGAGTTGAAATCAGGAACAAAAGATGATGTGCTGAAAAAAGTTTTTTTTTTCTCTCTCTCTTTTTTCATCCTGCTTTAAAATAAGATTATTAAGTAGTCTGAGTTTTTTGTACAGTGATCTTGATTGTTAGAAAGTTGAATTATTATTATTATTATTATTATTATTATTATTATTATTATTATTATTATTATTATTATTATTACCATTATATTATTGTTGTTATTCATTATTACTATTATCATTATTATTATTATTATTATTATTATTATTATTATTATTATTATTACTATTATTATTATTATTATTATTACCATTATATTATTGTTATTATTCATTATTACTATTATCATTATTATTATTATTATTATTGTTATTATTATTACCATTATATTATTGTTATTATTCATTATTACTATTATCATTATTATTATTATTATTATTATTATTATTATTATTATTATTATTATTACCATTATATTATTGTTATTATTCATTATCATTATTATCATTATTATTATTATTATTATTGTTGTTGTTGTTATTAATTATAGTTCATTATCTATCTCTATCTATCTATTTATCTATTTTTCTATATTTAATTTTTGAGAGAAAAAGTATAAAAAATTTGGTGTATATGGAAGGACATTACTCAAACATTTTCATCATCAATCATTTTTTAACACACACACACACACACACACACACACACACACACACACACACACAGAGCTGCCTGTGGCGATGGTGGTCCAGCAATCACCTGCCGAAGCAGTTGTTCAGTGCTGCACATAATGAAGTGCGAATCAGTATAATGTGCTCACTGATGCGCTGGCTTTAAAGATCAAACCCAAATTGATTTATTCCCAGCACCGCTGAGCCATTAGCAAATAATAAAATGGAATGCAGCAAAAATGTGCACCAGGGGACCAAAAAACCTCATTCCACATTGCCGAGAGCAGCCGGTGGAACCGCACCAGCTCCGTTCATCAGAGCTGGAGAACGGTACACCCCTGTGCTCTTCTGTGCAGTTGCTCAGAGGTGTCTCAGAGGTTAGCACTGAGTTCTGAGGATGTTTACAATGAAGTCAAAACCTCCCACCTGCAGTAATTCAGTTATTCAGTTACTCCTCTGTCTGTCATCTCTGCAAGGACACACCTACAGTAGAGAGCGATTTCACTCTGCCACTTGTTTCTATGTGAAGGGATGAATAATGCATCTGGGCAACTGGACAACTGTTGCTCGACAAACAATTATGGCTAAACTCCCACAGGAAGCAGAAAATTAATTCCACACAGTTCACACCAGAACAAGACGTGTTTGGAGTCTGCAATTTCTTTCTTAAAGCCGCAGTCCTGCTGGAAACTTGCAGTTGCGATACTTCAACTCATTGTGAAATCCTGGCTGGAACGCTTTCTCTGATTAGTCAGTGAAACTTTGCATTATTAATTAAATCCTACATATACCAAGGTACTGTTGAATTATGCAGTCTGATTGGTCAGACGCTGCTGATTAAATTTCTATAACAGTAGTGCAGCTGCAAATTACAGGTTTATTTTAATGAGTTTACACTACGTGGTTTTTCGGTAACCGCTCGTCTTATTCACTTTAAGAGAAAGAAAAAAGAGAAGCAACTGAGATAATTCTTTAATGAGTAAAAATTGTAATGGTAGGCAAATTGCTGTGTTGTGAGAGGAATAAATCACTTGGGAATGTGCTGTTATAGTAAAATAATAAATTTCAGAATTTACTCTGTAACTCTGGTTTATTACTTACTTCAAACATTTAATAGTATTTGTGCGGTTTGCAGGAACTACTTGATGCTTTTCATACATTAAAGTTACTTTAATAATAAAAAAGGACCAGATGTCATGTGGAAAAAACCCCTCAAACAGCTGAAGGTAATGTGGCTGGATTTTCACGTGTTAATCCCACCTATAGCCCTACCCATAACATTCCCATTCCCTGACTTCATCTTAATTGAGACGAGCAAATTTTCAGCTGTGAGACCGTTTGGAAAAATGTATTGACTTTTATTTTCAGTTTCAGTTGTACTTTGCTATAATTTTGACTTTCACCTTTAATTGAGTAAGATTTTGACTGTAAACCCCCCGATTTAACCTTTTACTCTTGAGCCAGTCAGCGTGTTATGATTGGAGTTTAATCCAGATTTGTTCTGCATGCTATGTAGGTTTAATTAAAAATCTCTGATTAAATTGTTTACTCATCTTTTTAATCTCACGTGTATGAATGTTCTGTAATTATTCTTTTTCTTTTTTTTTTTTTTTTTTTTTAAATATGGGATGATTCACACATGGGGATGATGCACATTTAGTCCAGCATAATAAACTGGAGGCTCAACTGTAAGTTTCCATTAATTCTTGCATTCGCTTTGTAGCTTGAGTGCAAATCTAATGAAGGAAACTTTGTTTTTGAACTTTATTCTTGGTTGAAATGTTCCTCTAATTAAGGAAAGTTAGTCTTATCCGTGATGTTCATGTTCTCTGTTGAAGGCAGAGGAAACACGACAAGATGATGCAGGTTGGCTTCGTGCCAATTTGACAGTCCCAAATGTAATCTTTCTGCAGCATGCTGTGATTCCTTCCATACGATAATAGAAAAATCAATTGTTACAAAAGCCGAAGAAAATTATTGTCATTTTTTCCCCCCTCCGCAGTGACATTTGATTACCTTGCTAGGCAGCAAATGCCATTTTGGTAATAGCTTGATTTCATATTTACCCGAACAGATGCTGCCTTGCGTCTTGTTACCATAGCGATGATGCCCCACATCAGTGTTCGTATCTCTCATGCATCTTTCCCATCGGTTCTAATTGTAAGTTTCACAAGAAGATGAAATCTAAGCCAACATGGGCCCCCTCAAACTGGCGTCTTTGGTCAAACGCTCCTGTTTTGAGTAAACAGTATTATGTGCACGTCACACCTCCCTCTGAGATCAAACCATTCTGCTCTTATCACTGACGAGCTCATGAATGAGAAACCCCCCAAGGACTTTAAGCTGTTAAAGGCAGTTTCCTCAACAGGAAATTAATTCTTTTACTCTGTGGTTCAGGTGATGGAGTTTGACTATGTTTTTGTTTTTATGCATCAGGAAGTCTTAAATCACAACACGTCACAAATTAAACTGAAATGTGGTCAGTCAGGATTTAAAGATCGATGTGTCTCAGAATGAAAGGGAAACAAAAACAGAAACTCAGTGTGACTGAGGATAAAGGATTAAAGACTAGAGGGACGTAATCCAATGCTAATAATATGCTGATAACCTGATCAC